GCAATAACCATAACGACTTTGTCCTTTCCATTGGCATAGCGGAAGAGCGAGAAGTAACCGACTGTGAGGTTGGGCGCAGTCAATTGCCTGTCGATGATGTCCTTCTCTTGATCACTGAGGCCAGCTGTGGGAGGCTTGGCCTCCTTTTCCTTATGCAACTCATGCTTCTCGTCGATGGCCGCGGAGATGGCCGTTCCCGTCGACGTTGCTGAGTCCTCGTTATCCATGCTCAAGGCGATGAGCGTGTCTTGTCGTGTCGTTGCTGATACTTGGCGTGCAGCAGTCGAAATACCTCCAAGAGGTCTTAAGGGGATGTCGCGAGGAGAGGAACAATACCTAGGGAACTTCTCCTGCAATTCCTTTGAGATCCTTCAGCGCGCCACCCACGGGCCTAGAAGATTAGAGATCCTTGTAGTGCAAGGGCAAGCCGTTGTCCGAGCCGGACGGCACTAGGCTTGATAAGGCAAAACACACGATCTAAGCTTCTCGGTTGGGTGGCGATGGACCCGAATGTGGATGACGCAAAAGCGCGGACTCGTTTCGTCCGGGGGGCTGGAATACGGCCGATACGATGGATGGATTGCGCAACACCAAGGCGCGAGTGCGAGTGCGAGGCGAGGCAACTACAGATGACACGGCACTGACCAGACAAATAACGCATGCACCAAACGATGGCAGAACCTGACAAAATCAGAATCGATGGAAAGTCGATAGTCGTGCTTGCTTCTGTTTGTATTGAAAATTTCAAGGAGAGCGAGACGCAGAGGCTCCCCATATAAGAGGTGTTGCAAACATGTCTGCCTGAAGTTGATGACAGTCATCGTCGGATTTGGCGCATAAGTTTCCACTCCGGTGTGCTGGATACGCACAATGCTGTGCTCACCGATACGAGTAGCCCGCAAAAGGTTGGTGGAAGCGAGCGTCTCGGGTCCGGCTAAAGGCCGGTCGTCGGGAGACATGAGCCGCCGATGGCAGCGTCCTGGCTCCTGGGCTGCCTGTGCCCCCGCGCACTGTTATAAAAGAGCGAGGTGCTCGGATTTCGTTCACGTCGGACAGAACAACCCCCGATAAGAGGCCTTTTTTTATCCAATCATAAATGCGCAATCACATATCGGATTCGGAATCATAACACCCGTGCCATGTTCATGTTATCGACAGCTTCTCTACACTGTACCTAGGTAGTGCCACGGCGTATGCCATCGAAGACGCGTCAACGCTTAACGTCACTGTATGTCATGTGTGCGACAGACGCGGTGACAGAGCGAAACGAGAATAGTGCGTTACTTACCTAGGTATACGGGATACGAGATCAAACCGCCCGAGGTATGCACTACGACTGGGTTCACACTGCATGGCATACAAAAAAACGCGATACTCACACCTAGGTACCACCTCGCACAACAGAACACTAAAGAGACCTGCGGCCTACATCAAGGTAAAAATATGCAAAGTAGGCAACCTAACATCAACGTAGGCTCCAGGGTGGTCAGTTTTTCATGAATGCTTCGATTGCTTCTCAAGTTACCCAACCATTTGGCCGTCTCACTGATCTTCAACTATGTCCATTCGTCTGCATCCCGTCAACCCCCCTCCACGACTGAGCATGTCCCGCCAAACTCCTCCTCACAAAGACAACCTCCTTCTCCTTGACGTCACCGCATGCCGCACATACCAGACGCGCAGCGTCGCAATCGCCGAGGACATCCCATGCAGTATACACCTTGCAATAGAAACACACCCAACCATAATGTCTCGCATCTTCCCTCGTTGTAACCTGAACCTCGAAACAAACGGTTGGTATATTGTCTGTATTGGAATTAGGTTTGACCACGTAGTGCCCATTGGAAAGGGAGGTAGTAGTTACCCAGGCTCATTGAACCAAGCTGCAGATGGAGTGGCACAGGCCGGCAGGCTACATGGCCGCATCGGCGTAGAGAACCTGAGACATGGCAAGACCCAGGCGTGTTGTAGTGTGAGCTGCGATGACAGATCCATCCGCGTTGTGCTGGGCTCTCTGCGCGAGCATCTTGGACCGCGAGTTGCACGAGAGCTAGGTGGGCGGCTTTAGTGAGATCGCAAGGGATGTTGAGGATTTCGCGCTCTGGGTAGGGGTCAGCGCCTTCTGTGGTGTGGGCGAAGAGAAAGGAAAGGGACTTACTAGTGGGTGTCGTCATATTGCTGTTGCTCAATTAAGCGGGTGGTTAAGTTGTAGCGATGGACTGTTCGGAATATTGTTGGAAGTATACGTGCATCATGCAGCAGAAGCCGGAGACTTCGTTGAAAGCGAGAGCAAACGCAGTTGCGACACTATCCTAGCGTGATCTTGAGCTTTCCACGTGCTGGTAGCCACTTCGCAGCAGGAACAATCTTGTTGCACCTGACGTATACGAGCACGTCGCCCTTTCGCTTCCGACATCCAATTGATATTGTACCTGCATACACGGGAGCGCTCACTCGACATCATGGACGTCGTCAGCAGTATGTATATCTCAACTATACCAACTACTCTCGTGCTAACCCTACGCAAGAGAAAGATATACTAGAGCAGGAAAGCTTCACAGCGCAAAGAATTATGCTATTCGCAGTCAGACAGTCTGCAGAAATGGCCCGAAACGTAAGAGCCTCTTCCTTCACACATTTCTTTACTCCTCATACCAGGTCAAGACATTGACACTACGCAGTCCAACCCCCCTCTCCGCGGATGGGTCTGTCACGACTGCTCACACTTCAACGTACCGGGCACCATAGCTTCACCCGGCGGCCCATGTCAAACATGTGAATTGCCGGTTTGCGAGGCGAAGTGCGCTGATGCAACTGTCACAACGCGCGACGACCGCCGCTGTTCGGGGTACGCTTGTTGGTACTGCAAGTACTTCTATCCGTGGCCCGAGGACAACGATGGGAATCGTATGCCAGGTAGCGCACTATCTTGTGTTATCTGTGAGGACTTGGAAGAGGAGGAAGTGGTGTTTGTCAAGAGTTGGATTGAGGAATTAGATGCAACCAAGGAGGAGAAGACTGAGCAACAAGAACAGAAGGACAGGAAATTCAAGGATGAGAAAGAAGACAAAGAGGCTAAGTTGGAGGATTTCAATGATGGTCAAGGTGACTTCATTGTAGTTCATAGGCGTAGGGCCAGATCAAATCGAGGGGCTGGAGGCGGAGGCAATGCGCGATAGATTGCTCATTCCAGGCAATACGAAACTTGTAGTTCAAGTTTGAAGTATCTCGGACTTCAGTTTGGTGTAGTTGGACAATACTCACATTGATGTTCAAGCGGCTGCCCAGGTGGTGACGTCAGTCCGCTTATAATCAACACGTGACTGCTCATTGCGGTACTCTCGACCATGGGTGCGATAGCCTAACAAGAGCTTGGAAACACAAAGGCCATAAGTATGACTAGAACAACATCATATTTGAAGCTTTGCATAGCTTTCAGGCGAGCAACATTTACGCAATTGGCAGGCCCTCGCCCACCTACGATCACAAGCGGCTAATTCGTTGGTCTCGGGATTGGCGGCGGGCAAAGAGTGCGCGGAAGTATCTTACTACTTGATCTACGCTTCAATCGCCATATCAACTACCAGCTTTCCACCCCGGCCCTTGTGGTATTCGTCTACAAGCTCGTTCAGCTTCGCGAGAGGAAATGAAGTCGACAAAGCGCGGACACCATGTTCGGCCGAGAACTCGAGCATTTCACGAAGCACTTTGTTACTTCCTACCAGGCTTCCGATGATCCTTATATCCCGAAACACGACGTCGCGCGAGTTGATGTGGAAGCCATTCTCCGGGAACGACACGATCACGCACGTGCCGTGTGACTTGAGCAGGGCCATGCCGTAGTCAAAAGCAGTCTGGCTTTCCGGCAGGACGATCACTGCATCCAGTCCCATTTCGCCAATATCGTTCTTGTTGTCTTCTCTGCCGATTTCCTGAACGACATCCGCTGCTTTCTTGTTCCGGGCGTCTACGATATAAGGCTGAGGCTCCAATCTCGAGGCGACATCTTGCGAAAGCTTGAGAGGTTCATCTGCTGCCTCGATACCCAGGACTTTGTACCCCATCTTGACGCCGTATTGTAAGCCTAGATGGCCAAGACCACCACCAGCTCCTAGTATGCCGACTCGGTCGCCTTGCTTTAGTCTGCATCTCTTGAGGGCTCCGTATATGGTTACGCCGGCGCACATCAGAGGAGCAGTCTCTACTGCGGTCAGACCGTCTGGTATGGGTGATAGCTGTCTCGCATCCACAACGGCATACTGCGCGAACCCTCCGTCTTTGCTCAGCCCTTTGTTCTCAGCATTTATACAGTTCACCGAGTAGCCTCCTTCATCCATGGCGACCGGATCAGCCACGCGCTCGTTCTTGCACTCAAAACATGAGCCACAAGCATGGAAAGAACGCCCTGGTACACCGACCCTTACTCCGATCTCGAAAGCGCTAGCTTCCTTGCTGGGCGCCTGAAAGTGAGTGACTACCGTCCCGGCGAACTCGTGGCATCCGATGTGTGGGAAAGATTTCGGCAATCCTGGCATCTGTCCTTCCGCCAGGACATAGTCGGTGTGGCAATACGAAGCAGCGTCTACCCTGATGAGGATGTCATGCGGCTCCTCCAGCTTCGGAATTGGAACTGATCGTAGCCTGTATGGTTCCTTGTAAGCCTCCAGGTACTGCGCTTGCATCGATTCGGGCACAGTAAACGACATGGTGTTTTAGAAACTTATCGAATTGACACGGAGCGGGGAGTGACCATTTGACTACATCTGGGAATGATCTCAATCTATATACCTTCTATTACCACTGATTCATTCAGCAGATCTCCATATCTCAAAGGAGTTGACCCCGCGTGCGGGGTAGTTGACAAGGTGGGGCCGCAGGACGGCATACATGCCAGCGATTTCCCCAACCACGCTTTCTCCAATAACGAGGTCATATTCGGTGTCAAATATGGCTTCTTCGGAAACATTCCAGATACCAGCTATTGCCTCCTGTCATTCGCAATGGCTTCAAGCACCGACAGCGTTGTTCTTCCAGCACCGGCCCACGATCAAACCTACGTTACCATCTCAGCCCTTGAAGCCGGTCAGCTTACCCTTCCCGAGAGACTCTTCGTCACAGATGCCGACCCAGAAAGACGTGCGACAGTCCCATCTCTTTCTTTCTTGATTCGACACGATTCATCCAATCTCATCTTCGATCTCGGTCTCAAACGCGACTTCTCTGGCTACCGGGAAGCACAACAGCATCATATCGCGCAACGCCAGCCTACCAGTGTCAGTCCGGATGCAGCTGAGAGCCTGCGAAAAGGTGGACTTGACCCAAAAGATGTGGACGTGGTGATGCTAAGCCATGTTCACTGGGACCATGTGGGTACACCAGGTGATTTCACAAACGCGCGATTTGTGGTCGGAAGTGGGACCATGCATCTTCTTGCGAACAGTGGTGGGCCACTTTATCCATCCGAGATATTCAACCCTGATGAGTTGCCTGCCGACCGAACGAGTGAGCTACCACCTGTTCGCAAGGCAGAAGCTCTACGCGCATTCAGGAACCAGTTAAAGGAACTTGAGTGGAAGCCGCTGGCGGGGTTCCCCGCCTCCATAGACTTCTATGGAGATGGATCATTATTCATCATTGATGCGCCAGGACACTTGTTCGGACACATCAACCTTCTCGCTCGAACAGGACCGAAGAAATGGGTATATCTTGGTGGCGACTGTTGCCATGACCCACGCATCTTGAGCGGCGAGAAGGGCATCGCGCTCTACGACGATGGGAAAGGCGGGTTGAGAAGTGTGCACGCTGACACTGATGCTGCAGCGGCTACCGTGGAAACAATAGCAAGGCTCTTGAAGCAAGGGACTGTTCGTGAAGAAAGTGGAAGCCCTGTAGAAGTAGAGGTGATTGTAGCGCACGATGGAAGTTGGGCGCGGGCGAATAGGGCGGCGTTTTGGCCCGGGCATCTTTGAACGGTGGCTGAGCAAATGATATCCCGCGCATATAGTGCACCTCAGCACGGCTCCGTTCGTAAAAGAGTTTTGTCCGACCATATATCAGTCGTCGCAATATTCGCGCTCTCGTTGACCTATAGTATTGGTAATTTGCATAATTTGTAAGTTATGATTGGTTCGTGGGCATGCTGTACCTACCTAGGTCGACGCGCTGTGTCACGTGATTACCTCACGGGTACATAGGCTCTCCTTCCTTAGTAGTTAGCACCTTAGCTCTTACAATAACAACTCAATACATCATATACCTCGCACGCTGACTCTGGTTATCACATCAACCATCGTTCAAAGAAGAATAAAACCAGCGCTACACGTCCTCCTCGTTCTGATTCCACGACATTCCCACGATACACCAACATTATTCTTATCGTGCACAACGACCCAACACACACAAAAACTCGAAAAACATTCACAGAGCTCCGGCAAGACATCTCCGTGCATCATGTGCAGGACTCCATCCAATCCGTCATGGATGTACGATGGGTCGGCAGACAACACTATAGGTACGAAGCCTACACCACTGAGAAATCAGAACAAGACCAACACTAAGACTACGTGCAGGGGAAGGCTTTGAGATGCAACGGCAACATACCGAGGCGATGGAAGGCGTTACGAGGACTTGTGCGACCATAGTTGAGGAACGCAGGGCCGAACTCGAACGGCGAGAAAACAAAATCAAGGAGCGCCAAGTTGAGCTCCAGAAATGCAGGGCGCGACTCCAGGAAGCCGAGACTCAGATGGATGTTGCTCGAAGCTGTCTTGCCACTATGGGGCAGAACAACTACGTAATACATCAGTACACCGCGGAGACGAACGACGTCTATGCAGACACGGATCATGATAGACTCTCGAGTCACCCGGCGCCCCCTCCTTATTCGCCTCCCAACGATCTCGATCACGAAAGGATACCAGCAGCAAGTGACGCGCCGATAGACGGAGACACAGATCAACTACACCAGAGAGAGCGCGATCATGGAAGCAGCGACTCTGATAACAGCAGCGATGACCGCGACTACCATGAGCGGAGGAGAAAACTCATCGCAGAACTTCTCCCTCTCTATAGGGAGATTGGCAAGTCAAAGAATGAGCTGACGAAATGCAAAAGAGAAGCACAGGCGCACCAGAAGATGATCGGACTGCTTCGAAGACACATCCGCCTCATGGAACAAGCGATGAGTCCGCTGAAGCAGTTGGCGTTCGATGTTGGCGAGTTCGATCCTCTAGTTGATACCGCGATAGAGGCCGTTACGGGAGGACCGATATCCCTAGGATGGTGATCGTCGCGAGATGGGCAGAGGGTGTGAGGATCGAGATGGTCAAGATGAAGTGAGCATGGGGGACGCAATACTTTTGTTGTTTTTGAGCACAGTTCAGTACGGGAAAGGCTGTTAGTCCCAGGTCTTTTAGCGAAGCACGAGGACAGCCATCTATTAGATAGCAGAACAGCCTTGCCCACAAAATCTCTAGGGAACAAGCTATCTCTACAGCTAAACAGTGGTGTTAGGCATGCTAGAGATAAAAAAAAAAGAGTTAAAAGATGTAGATCTAAGACAAGACACCATGATGCCTAAGAGTGGGAACGTAACTCTAGGTTCAGCCGCATACTGCTTTTATCATCATCCAAAAGTCATACTAGTTACGCTCGGCTGGTTCGGCGCACTAATCGAGTTCATCAAAGCGAAATGAGAAGTGAAAGAGAGAGCGCAAACATGACCCATTCGGAATAGTCTGTAAAACGGAGATCGCTAGCAAACGGACCACGTCTTTTGGGTGACACATTGTGACCACCGACAATCGCGCGGTCACACTATATTCGTCTTCTCCCCCAATTTGGATACCGAGCTTGGCTCCATATCTCGACAACGATCGCATCCGTTTGTCTGCTATTTCCCCCTCGGGGCTGATCCTAACGCCTTCGTATATACCGCCTCAGTCTTTGATCTTGGATATGCGCTCGTTCGCCTCGACCGCACATCAGCACCCCTCCAAGTAACACTGCGCCTTCCTGAAGCTCAGAAAGTTCGTTGAACTCGAAATCGCGACCACCGATCATTGACTGCGACTCCTTCACCACGATGCTCGGTCTAAGTTACTACCACGCTCAGATAGTGATCGCTCACTTCATCTGCTGCCTCATCGCCGGTCTCACAGTCTGCACACGCGTCTACGCCAAACGATCGACGAAACAAGGTCTTAAAAGAGACGACTATCTTATCGTATGGACCCTGATCGTCTACTGGGCCGCCATCATCGTCGCCCTACACGGTAAATCAGTAGCACTGCGGCAGCACCGACTTTGAACTGACTCTTTCACGACAGAGAGCTTCACAAACTTTGGACCATATACCAAGACCGAAATTCTAGACATGCACTTGACCGCTGCCTCCCCGCGGCTGATCCAATACCGCAAGGCCATGCTCACCGCCTTCCTCCTGGGCATATGGTCCCAATTCACCTGCAAACTCTCCATCCTCCTCTTCTACCGGCGCATCTTCCGCACCTGCACCTTCCACCAACGCGCCTCACTCTACCTAATCATCTTTACCTCGCTCTGGTGGGCCACCGCCGTCGCCGCCATGATATTCGTCTGCCGCTCCTTCGTCGTCAGCTCCCATACCGCATCTGAAGCCGTCAAAGTGGCTGCCGAGCGGGAGAAATGGAAGGGAAAATGGCCGCAAGTATTCCAGGCTTTTCTCGCGCTCGACGCGGCGAATGATTTGGCTATCTTGCTTGTGCCGATAAGAACGGCGTTTACGCTGCAGATGGCAAAGCGGGCGAGGTTGGAGCTTGTTGGTGTGTTTGCGCTGGGTGGGTTTGTTGTTGTTACTAATGTGGTAAGGATTGTGGAGTTTTATACGAGGCGGAAAGAGGATCCGAATGAGAGTAGGTCTTCTCTTGCTTTGACACTCATTGTCGTTCCAGCTGACGTTGACCAGTTTTCTATCATGCCACCGAGCTTTGGACTAGCATCCATGTTTGTACTGCGGTCTTGTGTGCTTGTTTGCCAATTCTCAAACCGCTTTGGACGTCGGTCTCGACAAAGGTTAGGACGAAGGTTACGGGGATGAGGTCGGGTAAAGATCAGGGTAGTACACAGGGGAGCCAGGCGGCTGTTTTGGATAATGAGGTACAGGATTGGAATGTTATCAAGAAGACTGTGACAGTCCATCAGACGTCTTCAGAAGCGTGAGGATCGAGCGGAGCGTCGCGGTTGGTAGCTAGGAAAGAAGTTGTGCGAAAGACGTTGTATACACCAGATACACAACAACAACAATAGCATTAACACAAGATTCGGTACAGGTATCCGTACTCTACCATGGACCGGTCTGACAGAAATGAAGACGTGACGTCTAGGTCATCCACGTGGGTGTGGAGCTCCCGAGGTCCTCAACACGAGTCGCTTGAGGTTTAGCGTCCTGAAGAATTTCAAGCTTCGCGTAAACCCCAATCTGTCATTTCGCATCACTTAGACAACACACGCAGTAGCATCTAGTGGGGAGGTTCTTTCATATAACTCGTTATCAAACCAAAGTTAATATGGTCATGCACCATGGCGTGACATGAGGAAAAGAAAACACACAACGCCAGTGGATCCCGAAGCACATACCACCCATAACCCAGGACCCGACTCTTCTGACGTCTCTCGAAACGCCGTTAGCACTGATTGCCGTTATCCGTAGATGCTCCCGTCGATATCATGATCCCAGAATCACCCCGCCATGTACACCTTGCCTTACCTTGAACTCCGGAAAAGAAGAATGATGGACTGCTACCATCAGGTCCATCATGGCCTACACAAAGAAGGCATCCGGGAGGGTGGAAAGAAGAGCAAAGGAGACTACGGCACCGGTAGCACCAAGCAAGGGATAGGCAGCCTTGTTGAGAACCTTACTGAGGACTGAGCGGGGAGTCTTCTTGGGACGCTGGGCAATAATGGCAGCCGCCTGGATTGCAGCATCATCATCCACTGGAACAGCAGCTACTGAGTTTGAGTTTGCATGCTCATCGCCAATGGCGGCCTTTGATACTTCGTCGAGAACGGCTTCTGGCTCGTCTGCCTCAAGCACATCTGCCTTGCGCTTCAAGTCCTTTACAGATTCTGGCGTGGGCGGCTGCTCCTCAACGATCTCCTCGATGGATACCTTCGTACGGCGACCTGGCTGCACCGGCGGGGAGGTCTCGAAGTCAGGTACGAAATATGGTGGAGGTGTCTGCAGACGACTCGCATGCATGGGTTGACTAGGATAAGGAGCAAATTGGGGCATGGGAGCACGAGCCTCATTCGCCTCTGCCATTGGGGCAAGAGGAGCCGGACTGAACAGGGACGGTCGATCGCCAAAGTTGGTGCCCAAGTAGTTTGGCGGAACGCCCTCGGAGTACCATTCCTGAAGATCGGCCACTTCCCTGAAGGAGCGATAGTTTGAATCGCACCATGGTGCTGCCCTGGACGCCGAGGGACGTGGCGGCAGAGGTGGAGGCGCGTTATCTCCATAGACGTTACTGTTCGACATGGAGTTGCCGTCAGAGCCCTGCATACCGAACATGTACAAGCGTGGTAGCGACGGCTGTGTGTTGGCTACGTCTTGTGGCATGTATACGTCCGAGAGCGAAAGCGTCGTTGTATCGCGCGGGAAGGAGTGAACAGTCTGGGGTACTTGGCTGTGGATGGACGCCTCGTTCTCTTTGTTGGATGAGGATGTGGTGGGCTTCTTGTGTTCAACCTCTTCCATTTCCTCATCTTCTGAATCCTGAATCTCGGGCTCGGAGTCAGACAGCATTTCGGAGCTATCGATGCTGCCAGCCTCGCTGTCCGAATCAGAACCAAGAGCGGCCACGTCTTCTTCATCGCTGGAAGGGTTCGGACTAGCAGGCTCGAGGGAGTCATCACGGCGGGACGCGAAGCTCTCTTGGTTGTAGTCCTCGTTGGGAAGAGTGGTGCGCATTGCGGACGTTGGGTAGTCGTCCTGGCCAACACTGAGAGTGTGGTCATGCTCGTTTGGGTGCAGGACCTGATCCATAATCATGGTAACCTCTTCTTGGTCGTCGGCCTCCGAGTGGTCATCGGCTGCGTCGGAGTCGTCGTCGATGACGAAAGGATCGATCTGGCTGCCGCGGCGCTCTGCGACTTCCTCTTCGTCACTCTCGGCATCAGGGACGGTGAAGCCGAGAGAGAAGGGGCGTGATAGCTGCGACTCGAAAGTGTACGTGCGGGCTACGAAGAACTCTGTGTGGGTTGGTGTCAGCTCAGAAGCTAGGCTAAGAGGAGGTTTGGAGGGCCTACGCGAGGACGTACCCTCATTACGGTTAACGTCAGTGCCGAATTGCAGGACATCGCCATCGTTCAGCTTGGTGGGTGTGTTGGCAGAGAGCCTCTGACCGTTCAGCATGGTGCCGTGCATGGAGCCTTTGTCGGTAATGTAAACTTCCGGAACGCCGCTGTTTGCGTTGGCCGAGAGGACGGCGTGCTGGCGGGATATGACGGGGCTGTCGATGAACGCGTTGTGAGGTGCCGCCATAAGCTCTCGCTTGGCCGCGTTGCTGGACGCTCGACCGATGGGGAACTCGCTGTTGAGCGGCAGGTCGAACTCACGGGTCTCGTACGTGTCGTACCGCTTTGCGTCCCGGAGGACGATACGGAAGACTGGGGTGTCAGTGAGACGGGGAAAGAACATGGAAGATGGTGCGATGAGAGGCCTACTTGAACTCATGAGGAGAGGGAAGTGCGTCTCGCCAGAGAGTGACGCGAATACAGCCTTGGTTGGGAGGCGGAGCAGTTGAGCGGGGTGAGGTTGAGCGGGGACGCTGTGTAGGTAGTACCGTGGGCCAGGAGGCAGGAGCAACCAGTAACGTGTAGATAAAGGTGCTGCTCGTGTATAAGAAGTGGGAAGAAGGGTAAAGCGAGTAATTCACGCGAAGTTATTGCAAACCTCGCCGTCACTGTGGGCGGGGCAGAGAGACGGTCAATGGTGAGGCAGCCACCAGGCGGTGATGCTCCTGGTCACGACTGCCTTCCGGGGTACTATCAGCTTATCAGCCCGCAGTAGGGCGCGTTAGTGGGTTTAGCGCAACGGGAAGGTTCCCCACCCTGAAATCTGCAGCGGCGCGACGAGAAAGTTGCTGCTGCGCTCTATTGTCACCCGGATAATGACTCACGACGCGACGACTATGCGAGACGACGACCACTGCGACGACTCCTCCCGGTAGCATCAACTCACCTCAGCGACCCCGCATAACCACCCCCCGCCACCATGGAGGCGCCGCGCAGCTCGGCCAAGCA